ATAGGTACTAAATTGTAAAACGAACTTAGAAAATACCTAATCAAAACTACAAATATGTAGAAAGAATATTAAAAGAAAAAAAATTTACAAAGTGAACAATAAAAAGGGAAAAATAACGCAGTTAAAAAAAAAAACAAAAAGAAAGAAAAAAAAGTGAGAAGTAACCCAAAAATTTAATAAAAACTAAAAAAAAAATTAAAAAAAAAAATACAATTTTCAAATAAACACTGAAAATCAATTAAAAATGAAAAAAAAAAATAGAATACTTGAAAATTTTTAAAATATAAATATGTATTAAAAATTTAAAAACCAAAATGCACAAGATTTTTTTTTTTAAAAAAAAAAAACGAAAACAGCCCAAAAATTGCATGGAAACTGGAAAAAAGAAAAAAGGACTAATAAAAACTGAATATTAACATCCTGGACATCTAAATTAGGGATTGGATATTACTTATCATAAAAAACGAAAAAAATACTTAGGGAGATTACTAGATAAGTATTAAGAGACCAGAGTTGTGCTATTGAATTTCCTAGTTGAATTTCTTTAGAGTTGGTTTTCTTGCATATGTTCAGTGTTCAAGCCTTTCAATACTTCCCTAAAGGGATCATATTGAAAACCATTTTTATGTACCAATTTGCTATTCAAGAGTTCTTTTTTTTTTTTTTTTTTTTTATAGTGTTTTTCATGTAACAGGCTTAAATGTTCTAAAGATTTATTTTGTTTGAAACATAAAAAGAACATTTGAAATCTCTAAAAATGCAATTATATTAACAAATTTTTAAAAACCTAGAAGCATCCACCATAAATAGGGAAAATACTCCTTACTCCTTGTAAGAGTAAGGAAAATACACATTGTAAAATAGGGAAAATATATATATAAGAGTTACTTAAAACATATAAGTACTACATTGTAAAATAAACTTTGAAAATACACAATGAACTGTTTTAAAAAGAACTAAAAATTGCAGCAGCAGAGCAACAACAACAAGCACAGACACACACACTGAAAATCATTTTAAAACGTAAATAAAATAAAATAAAATGCTAAAAACGCGAAAATACTTGACAGAAGATCATTTACCTGTTCATAAACCTAATTTAATTTTTTACCATTTCACTTTTTAATCTCCAGTTCAACCTGCTCAATTATATAGACCATAACACCAGATACAATCAACAAGATTGAAGAATACACATCTTTAAATGACCTATTCCACTGCCCCTACCTTAAGAAAATAACGCTAAGATAAAGGCTATAAGAAATTAAGGTTTAACATCAGGTTTAGGATAGTTTACCACGGTATCGAATCCAGATGCTCCGCCTTCTTCACCACGTCCAGACCATCAACCACCTGCCCGAACACCGCGTCTCGGTCTTAGCCGTCCAGATGAAGATCTGCGAGCCGTTGGTGTGGATCCGGCATTGGCCATGGAGAGAATTCGAGGGCCGGCTTCTTCACGAAATTCTCGTTCCGTAGGTTCAGTTTCCGGCGGTGGAGAAAGGAAAAAAGCAAATAGGAACACCGAGCGAACACCCCCACCTGGAGAGAGATCGGCCAAGACTGGTGAGTGTGATTGAAATTTGAGAGAGACGGACAGAATTAAATTCTATTTTTTCCGTTTCCGGCGGTGGAGAAAGGAAAAAAGCAATGAACCTGGAGACTGAGTCGGCTAAGACTGGTTATAAGAAGGGTTTCCGTTTCCGTTGCGTGTATAAGAAGCTAAACTTTATTTTTTCTTTTTAAATTTGAATCATCCCTTCAAACGGTAATCTTCCGTGGCTTATTTAATTTGGATTTTTTTTTTGAGGAATATTATTTAATTTTGATTTGGATGTTCCCTTATATGACTTTCTCAAGTCTCCTTCTTTTTTTTTTTTTTTTTTTTTTTTTTTTTTATATTGATATTACTCTTTTTTATTTTATTTTTAAACATAATGAAATTAAATAAATTACTTATTAATAATTTTTTCATTTTTTTGTGTGTGTGTGTAGGATTGATTTCAAAATAAAATAAAAGCAAAAGATTATCAAAGAGTATCTTATTTAATTGACTTTATTGTTTTTATTCGTTTTTTCAATTTAGAATTAGGTTCTGGTGTGGTTGGTGTGTTCAGATGCTATTGTGCGGTTAAATCTGAGCCAATGAAATTGTTTAAATCAATGTCTAGGATTACCAAAATTTAATAATAATAAAAAAACGCGATGACAATTTGGTAATTTTTGTATCTATGTCAAATTTAAGGTGCGTGGGTTTTGTGTATAAGGTGCATGGAATTTGTGCTTAAGGTGCGTATGTTTTGTGTTTAAGGTGCATGAGTTGTGTGCTTAATGTGAGTAGTTGTTGAAACTTAAGGTGCGTGGGTTTTGTGTTTAATGTGAGTAGTTGTTGAAACTTAAGGTGCGTAGTTTTTATTATTAAGGTGCGTTGTTTTTCTTCTTAAAGTGCGTGATTTGTATGCTTAAGATGTGCTCGTTGTGTGAAACTTAATGTGAGCCATTTTAAGTGCGTGGTTTGTGTTCTTAAGGTGTTTTGTTGTGTGTTTATGATGTGCGGTTTGTGTACTTAAGGTGGGTGGTTTGTGTTTTAAGGTGTTTTGTTCGTGTGCTTAAGGTGCGTGGGTTACATATGTACTTAAGGTGCGATATGTTAATGCTTAAGGTGCATCAACCGCGTGAGAAGCATCACCCGCACCTAAACCCTTCCCCAAATTTAATAATGTAATTTTTATTTTATTTTTTGTCAGACCACGAGGTGTCATGAGTATGCCCTAAATGTAGGGGGCACCTTTAAGTCTGTACCATACTTAAACTAATCCCCGTTCACGGGGTTCGACTCCCGACATCTCTTAGGGTGTGTTTGGAAACCTGGAAAATGAGTTTTCCAAGTTTCCACTGTTTGGATGTGTCTGGAAAATCAAGTCAACGGAAATCATTTTCCGTTGACTTTGGAAAATAAGCTTGTTTTGGAGGAAAATGACTTCCCCTTTTTTTTGGGAAGTCATTTTCCAACTTTTACACCAACATCACACCACCACCAACATCATCAACACCATACCACCACCACCTCACTAACACCATACCACCACCACCATCACACCACCATCGCCGCCGCCACCACCACCACCATACCACCGCAACCACCGTCGCCACCACCACCACCAACACCACTACCACCACCGCCGTCGCCACCATACCACCGCAACCACCGTCGCCGCCGCTACCACCACACCACCACCATCATACCACCACCGTCACCGCCGCCGCCACCACCACCATACCACCGCAACCACCGTTGCCACCATCACCACCACCATACCACCACCGCCGCTACCACCACCACCATCACACCCCCACCACCGCCGCCACCACCACCACCATACCACCGCAACCACCGTCGCCACCACCACCACCACCACTACCACCACCGCCGCCGCCACCATACCACTGCAACCACCGTCGCCGCCACCACCACCACCATACCGCCGCCGCCGCCACCATCATACCACCGCAACCACCGCCACCACCACACTACCACCATCACACCACCGTCGCCGCCACCACCACCATACCACTGCAACCACCGTCGTCGCCACCACCACCACCATACCACTACCGCCGCCGCCACCACCATACCACTGCAACCACCACCACCATCACACCACCGCCGCCGCCGCCACCACAACCACCACCACCATACCATCGCAATCACCGTCGCCGCCACCACCACCACCACCACCATACCACCGCAACCACCGCCACCACTGCCACCACCGTCATACCACCACCAGTTATAGTTATTATTATTATTATTATTATTATTATTATTATTATTATTATTATTATTATTATTATTATTATTATTATTATTATTATTATTATCATATAACAAATAACACCACTACCACTACACCACCACCACCACCATAATATTTTTGATATACTATTAGTTATTTTTTTTATTACATTTAAAATTATTATTATATATTATACATGTTGTAATATTCTAAATAAAATAATTAAAATGTTTAATTATACAATTCTACTCATTTTCCAGAAAATGAACCAAACACACAAAAACAGTTTTCCAGAATGCAACCAAACACTGGAAAGGAAAATGTTTTCCGGAAAATGACTCATTTTCCATTTTCCAGACAACATTTTCCAGAAGTAATTTTCCTGCTTTCCAAACGGACCCTTAAGGGACAAAAGTGCACGACCAATCACGTCATGACTTCATACTCGGATGATGTCAAATAGCCTTCTGCTCGGATGATGCTAGGCAGAGAAGGAGGCGGCCCAGTGGTCGCCTTTTTTAAAGAACGATCGATCGCCGGTCGCCATTTTTCTCCATTCAATGATATTTCACGGTAGTCAAGGCAAATAGTAACCGTCAATGATGAATTATATACCGATAACCTGTTGATTACCGGTGAATTTAGCATATTTGATATAATTTATATTCCTGTCTATCAAATAATAAAATGTAAATTCTCACTTTATTCATCTTTCATAAAATTTTAATTTTTTTTCTCCCTAATTTATTGACAATTATGCCATAGACCCGGCCCACATTGCAAGGTGGGTCTACGTCAAAATACACAATTCATATACTGAATGCTCATAATTTACATATTGAATATTCACAATTTAAATTGTGAACATTCAGTATGTAAATTGTGAACATTTAGTATATAAAATAGTAAACATTCAGTATGTAAATTGTGAACATTTAGTATATAAAATTTGTAAACATTCGATATCTAAATTGTCAACATTTAATATATAAAAATTGTGAACATACAGTATATAAACTATGTATTTTTAGACTCGAGTCAACATAATAATTTACCTTTCATCCATCCGGTCTACATTCGGCCCGGTCCAATATGTTAGAGAACTCCGTAGCCCGTATTCTTCGACCGTTCCTCCTCCAGTCTCAACTTATTTCCTTCTGTTTCATCGGCCGCCTTTCTCGGAGCTAAGCTGCTTAGGTAATGCACAGTAACGACGCCCAAAATCCACTCCTTCGTTCAGTAGTCCTCCAACTGTTTGATGAATTGTAGATCAAAATTGGGAAGAATTGTAGATCAAAATTGCCTATTACTTGCTATTTCCACGCACACACACACCATAAATATGTATGTATTATGTATATGCGTTGGCGAATGGGTGTGAAAATGTATATCACTGCGTGTTTTTAGACTGATTAGCAATGCAATTTTAGTAGGTATTTGAACTGAGCTGAGTCCAAGGATGAGAGTTCAGAGCCTAGGTGCAAATTCGGCCTCCTCGAAACTAAGCTCATTTTGGGGGAAAACTCTCAGCTCACCAATCCACGTTCATAACAAAAACATAAGATTCCCAATCATTGGTACGGCAGTAGCGTGTTGCTTGCTTGCTTGCTTTACTTTAGTAGTTAGTCGTTTTCCATGTTAAGTTTTTGCTATGATTTAAAGACTAATGGTTGGTTTTTGTGACATAGGGTGCCATAATCTGTCAATAAAATGCGGTGTTCGGTTTCGCCCTTGCATTGATATACACAAGGTATGGTGTTTCAATTTTTGTCTCATAGATTTCTTGATTAATGGATGTTTGTGTATGAAAAGTGTGGGATGATAACTTGTAACTTGCTATGTCTGTTACCTTGTGCTTCTGTTGTAGGAGACTAAATCACTACATTGTTACTATGTTATTTAGTTGGTGGATTATGTTATACATTTAATCTGATAGAGAAGTTTCACCATGATAATCTGTCCTACAAGAGAAAACACATTACTTATATTTGTTATCTTGCTGTTGCATATAAAGGAATAAAACAAAAGGAAAACGGAAAGAAATCATATGATAGCAAATAAGATAATGCCTTACCACAAGTGGCAATCTCGTGAGTCCAGCTCTGCATCAAATTTCCTCACATATAAGGACATAGGTATAAGACCTAACTTTCATAAAATTAGGGAATCATTCATAGTTTTTGCAGATCCTTTATAAGGCTAAAGGGTTGAATAATTGCTTATGTGCTGCCAACTTTGAAATCTCATGATACTTTGCAAGAATTATTCAATGGGTAGAACTGTTTCAGGGAAAAGTAAAGCAGATTGTTGGATCCACACTAAATGATACTAAGGATGGGGATTCGAGTCTTGTAACCAATTTCGTATCTGATAACTCGGCTGGAGTGTATGCAAAGCTTTACAAAGATGACGGACTTAAAGGTGGTCATGTAATAATGCTTGGAGCGGACCCTTTGAGCCAAGCAGCAGCAATTGAAGCAATACATGCTTATCCTGGTATGCTAGTGGGTTTTTTTTTTCCTGATGATGCTGTGATCTCTTGCAGTTGTATTTTGTGATGTATGAGTCTTTGTTTTAACATTTATATTGTAACTCCATGTCTCCATGTGCTTATGAGGTTTTGACTTTATGTGTATTTGTATGGTAGTTTTATGTTATCAATTGGGTGAATTTGAAAATAAAATTTCTTTCATGGTTAGTTGTGTCTCTACTTACAGATTTTTCCTCTGGTGAACTTCCTGTGAGGATGATTACATCTAGGTGGCTTGCATGTTGGAGGAGGTATCAATTCAAACAATGCAGTAAGTTACATAGAAGCAGGAGCAAGCCATGTCATTGTTACATCTGTAAGTTACCATTGTTCTTCCTTATACTTTCTGAATAACAACACCTACATTTTCAGTTTTGACCATTTCACTACACCTCAAACCCTGAGAAATGTCCAATTGTCATTGACCTCTGCCTCTTGCTGAACTGTAAATCAGATTGTATGAATTTGGCTGGACATGTATAGTTGATGATGATGGTGGAATATTTTGTCTTATAGAGGATTGGCTGCTTAATTTAAATTAGTTTATGTTACTGTTAAAACTGGCAATTGCCCGAGGGTAGAAGTAGCTAATCAAAACTTGCTTACTGCACCCCTTGCAGTCAGTACATCTTCCGATATTTTAGGGTTAGACTGTTAGAGCTAAATAGTATGTGCATTTCAGTCTTGACAATTGTCTTTAGTGAAATGAAGAAGTGAAAGTTGTCTATTGAAACATAGACTCCTACTTACACTATACATAATCTTAATGACCTAATCTGATATTCTATTTGAATGGGAAAGAGTTGTATGTTACTGTAATAGGGGATTGTGTTAAATAAATGTATTTGGATACTGTCTTTTTATTTCTTGTATAACCAGTTGATAATGAGTATTTTCAAGTTGGATATTTCTGGATGATTGGCATTAAGGACCCTCTTGGGAAAAGAAAACAATTTCCTTATTAAAACCTTACCACAGGAACCCTGTTGCATTGCAGTATGTCTTCAACAATGGGCAAATGGACCTTGACAAACTGAAAGAGCTTTCTCAAGTTGTTGGAAAACAGAGACTTGTTTTAGATCTTAGTTGCCGCAAAAAGGTACATGCTCTTCTGATAGATAAGCTCTATGTATTCTTTTAGAAGTTGTCTTTGTTGTTGGTGTGGTGGTTTTTTGTTTTGTTTTGTTTTTGTTTTTTTTTTTAGGTGGGGGATTCATCTTCTATTTGTTTGTTTGTTAAACTTGTTGTATAAATTAACTCAACAGTATGATTTACCATTTGCTATGGAAATTTTGCATTAATTAATTAACACAATGATGTGCAGGAGGGTAAATATGTAATAGTCACAGATAGATGGCAGAAGTTCACTGATGTACATCTAAATCAGGAAGTACTGGATTTTCTTGCCCAGTATGCTGATGAATTTTTAGTCCATGGAGTTGATGTTGAAGGAAAAAAGTAAGTACATTGAACTACACTCTTGTCGTTGTTGTTGAATTACATTGATATACAGTAATAATAATTGACCATCACTGGCTTTACTTATCAATATATTAATAATTGAACATGGGACATCCCATATCTTTAACTATTTACAATATCTTTAATTACTTAATTTTTAGAAATTATTAAAAAATGGTTGGATGTGGAAACATGAACATTTTGAGTTTTATAAATGGTTAAATAGACCATGCTTCGAATTACTGCACAAGGCTCCCACATCTTGTCAGGGGGTCTTGGAAAGGAAGAAGAATGATGCAAGCTACCTTAACTCTCTGAAACACTGTTCCCAGGTTGTGAGCTTGGCACCTACTGCTGACCTATCCTTCTGATACCAGTTATTACGGAGTATCACATAAGACAGTTTGTCTTCAGTCTTTACACAGCTTAATCTTGATAGACTGAACTCTTGCATGCCCTTTTGGTTTTGATAATTCATTCTACTGCTTGGGTTTGCAGGCTGGGAATAGATGAAGAACTCGTGACATTACTTGGCAAGTATTCACCTGTGAGTGTCTCACAGAATCCCAAACATTTTCTTTTTGACTCGATGTTTTTCCTCCTACTTAATTGCATTTGCCATTCTACAAACATATTTCACCATTCGATGCTTATATATTTTTTCTTTCATAACAATCCGTTTTGATCTCAAAATGAATGCTTGGTAAATTGGGCACAGTAATGGATTTTAAGTTGAACACAATCCCTAAATCAGCAATAATTTCAAGAATTATGAATTATCCAAGATGCCTTATATACTAAAAAGAAATTCTTATATAAAGTTCTTCCGATGTAAATAACTGCTCTATGATGTTCCGGACCTCCTTGAGCATGGGTTCATGGCAATAAGTGATCACAGTATTCTGTGCCACACCCTGCTTCCTACTATTACTAATACCTCTTGATTTAGAACCAATACTTTCTTGCATTATATATTCCATGATTTGATATTGATCTAAAGTGATTCTTCTTGCTGCATATACAAGATTCCCGTTACATATGCTGGTGGTGTCACTGTAATGGCTGATTTGGAGAGGATCAAAGTTGCGGGGATGGGTCGTGTGGATGTTACCGTGGGAAGTGCTCTGGACATATTTGGTGGGAAGTTGGCATACAAAGATGTCGTGGCTTGGCATGCACAGCAGAACCCCTTAGTGGTTTAATGTCTCACCTTGGTTCATCCAAATTTTGCATTGTAAGAATAAACCTCAAATTATCCTTGTTTGCTTTGTGATTACTCAATTGGACTGTTAGTTTGAAGTGTTGTGAACTTTCATTTGTCGTTTTACCATAGTGCTTGAGGTGGTTGTAAAAACCATAAGTTAGATAAGAATAAATGAATAAACAAAATCATGCAAGAGTAACACTATCATATGAAGAAATTGTGTGCTTAGGTTCAAATATCTTTTTGAAATGAATGGTCAATATGCATGTCTTATGTCGTCATCACATTTAATTTCATTTAAGAAGTTTGACAAAAATGGTCCCTTATCTAATGCATTTATGTACCTAATAAAGATAACACCCATTTTGCGAAATAACCACCCCAGCAGTTACTACCACATGAATTTTAAATCTATAAAATATTTCTGACAGTTTCATTGCGTAAACGCAAATGGTTTTTTATTACTTTATAATATACCTCTAATTTTATATTAAAGAAAATTTTTAAATTTTGTCTCCATAACATTAAGAGCTTGAGTTTGACTCCTTTTTTACTAGTTGACTCATAATTCTGTGACACAATTTAATTATTTTACTCTTTAATCCAATCGGTATAAAAATAAAAGATTTTTCTTTACATGCTAATAATACTATATACAATCATGCATGATATATCACTATAATCATTACTATATCAATTTAATCTATATAATAGACTTTTTTTTAGAAAATATTTCGTAGTAATTAAATATACAATTTCTTGTATAAACTATAAGTTGGGAGTACAGCGAAGCAAACTAAAGCATAGGAATAGGATGCAAATGCCAAAACAAACTGGTTTGTATTAAGGCGTGCGCCCACGAAATTTCCAACAAATCCACCCAAACCATGCTGATTTTTCCAAGCAAAGCCATTTGGATGTATAAGATTGACATCGTTGTACACATCATAAGTTTGGAATATAAAATATATAAAAATAATAAACGTGTAATCTGACTTAGTTTAAATTTTTAATTAAAGTGATTATATATATATATATATATATATATATATATATATATATATATATATATATATATATATATATACACACACACACACACACACACAAAATACAGTATTCCTATATATTATTTCACCAATAAATTAAATTTAAATTCTATGAGAAAATAATTGTTTAAAATATTGAAATATTGATTCCATTATTTGGTTGATGATAAATAAATTGTTGAAAATAATTAGTCTACATATTCAAATATCTCTATATAGTAAAGATATACAATGGTAATATAAGAATTCGTGTTGTAACTTTTCTCTCAAAATGTATTTAAAATAAAATACCAAAACAGAGTAATGAATTTATTTATTTATTTTTCAAATTTGAGGAATTTATTTTTCATTGAATAAATATTCACCAACCAAACAATGTAATTTTTTTTTTCAAATTTAAGAAAAAAGATTTATCAGGCATAAAAATATTTTTTGTGAACCAAATAGATCATTAAACTGACACAACTAAAAAGTGGAGATGAATTAAAAAATGGAACGGTGTACTAAAACGCAGTATTCCGCTTTGCAACAAAGAATATCTTTGCAGACAAAAGTTGATAACATCTAGAATCAAACAGCAAGTAGCTAAGAACCTCTTTATTACTAATAATAATAATTAATTACATAGAAATCAAGAAAATTTATTTTTAAAATACGCACTGACAGCGAATTAATGTTAAACCATATCCTCCTTGTACCTTCTTCTTAGTTGGAGTATTTTTATTGCTGCTCTTGTCACAAGTAATACCTCATTTTTAAATAATAATAATTAATTAAATACTTAATGGTTAAGCATTTGTGATTTGACCGTTTATTTTCATATTCTTGAGTTTATTAATTAATTTTTTAATAAGATAAGAAATATCAGATTTAGAAGAAAAGAAAAAAAAAAAAAAAACCAATTACAGAACGAGTCGTGCCGGTTTGTGCATTTGTACGTGCGTCGCCGGCTTGGACTTAACTAGCCGTGTAAAAGACTTCAAATTTAGGTGGAGACTGGAGAGGATTTTTCAAATTTAATTATCAAACTTTAAATATTGTTTTCCTAAATTCCAACTCCACCCTGGAAAATATAGCAAATAATTTGTATTTTCAAAAATAGGAAATATAAAAAATGAGTCCGGTAAAATATATAAATACATAAACGAGTAAATTCCATTTTTGGTCCTACTATTATAGGGGTCATTATAATTTTAGTCCACTATAATTATTTTTGTCACATTGCGTCCATTATTATTAAAAGTATTCTAATTTTAGTTCACGAAAAATCTTAAAATTGACTAAAATTTGAACACTTTTAATAATAGTGGATGCAATGCGGCAAAAATAATTATGGTGGACTAAAATATCCTATAACAATAGGACCAAAAATGAAATTCACTCTATATAAACAATTTTTTAAAACCAATTCTTAATATATATGGAGTAATTTTGTAACCATCACAATATAGGCGGTTCTTCAAATTTGAAAATGAAAAGAACTTTTTTTTTTTTTTGGAAATAAGGACTTAATGCATTATATCAAAAAACATACAATCAACAAGATAATGAGGAGTTTTCAAAAAAAAAAAAAAAACAAGATAATGAGGAGGATGGTTGAGCCACTCCCCGCAACTTGACTCAGAAACGGCTTCCCGAGCAATCAAATGGGCAGCACGATTCGTAGATCGCTTAACAAAGTAGAAGTCGACACCATCAATAGTGGATCTTTAGCTGCAAAGAGTATATGTAAGCCGGGAAGATTTTCAGTCAAAGTAGCCAAGGTGATCTGCATCGAGAAGCCCTTAGTTGGCTAAAGGGAACTAGGATGGGAGATGTGGATGTGGAAACTGATTCCCAATTAATTTATTTTGCTTTACGTTCAGAACCCTTTAATTCTGCTTTTAGTTTAATTGCTGAGGATATTAAAGAAAATTAAACTTTTTAAAAACTATAAATAGCAAATGGAAAACAATAATTTTAACCAAGTAGGTTTATGTTTCATAGTTAGGTTGCACATCAACTAATAAAAAGCTTTGTTAATTTGTCAAGGGGCCCTAATATTAGACCGTAGGGTTGATCCCAGCCTAAAGTCACCTTATGTATAAAAGTTTTTTTTTTTTTTTTTTTTTTTTTTTCCTGTTGTTGTATAAAGAGTAGTTTTTATTGTTAAAATTTCGTATTGTTAATATTGGTGTATTTATGCAACAGTTAATTGTTATATATTGCATACTGATTTGAAAAAACAAAAAGGTTGCACCTAATTTTCTGGTTTGATTATAGTTTGTTTTTTTTGTTTTTTTTTTGTTTTTTTTTGTTTTTTTTTTTTTTTGGGGGTTTAAACTCACATTCACTATTCGAGCGTGTATATTGTGACCCTAGTCGACAAAAACTTACAATGAAGTAAATTAACTTAGGTTGTCCATAGTTGGCCGACGCAAATCAAAAAGACTAATAGACTATTCTTATTACGAATCAAACTGTAACTTTGTAATTACCCAATCAACTTGACCAATTTAAATAGAGTTATTCCAACTTACGTTATTTTATTCACATAATCATAGATAAATTTTACATTATTTACGTTATTTTATTCACATAATCATAGGTAAATGTTTTACACTATTTCACGTTTAAAAGATATAAATAATTCTATGGTCTAGTAGCATGAAGTAGCGCTCTCAAATGGGAGTTCAATACAATGAATAAGGATGATATGGTCATTTCACCGGGACATGTAAGAGTTCACGTGTACGAGGACGCATTCATTGTTTTTTTTTTTTCGTTTTTTTGTTTTTTTTTTTTTGTTTTTAAGTGCATTGCTGATTTGCGGCGTCCTTTTTAATTAAAATTTTTGTTCTTAATTAATTAATTAATTAATTTTTTGTTGTTGTAAAATATTCAAAATCGTGAAACGGAGCACATTTGAAGATACTCCGTAGTATATAACAGCTGGGTACTGATTTGGCGGTTTCGTATGGAGAGTTCCGACTTGCATTAGACTTCTCTCAATACCAAAACTATTCTATTCTTCTTCTTCTTCGTTTCTATCGAACCGACCAAAACTCCTGCTATTTTTCGATTCTTTTTTTCGTTTCAAATTTTGTATATTCTTTCCTACTGTTTTTTTTTTCCCTCTATCTTTTGCATTGTGTTGATAATCAAACGGGTACCCTCATCTCTGCTTGATTGAAGCAGCAAGAATAAAGCGTATGGGGTTCACTAGCACTTTGATGGGAATTCTTGGTTGCTGGATTGGGTTGCCCATTGGCCTTTTCATCGGCTTCTACTTCTTCATTTACTCCAAACCTGAAGATGTTAAGGTGGGTGGGTTGTATGGAGTTCATATTTTGTCTTCTTTAATGTAAAAATTATAATATATCTGGATTAGTGATGCCCATGATATGCTTGTGTTATTGTTGGGCTTTAGTTCTTTAATTGTGTCTTGTAAATTCAGCTCCAACAAGAGTATGAGTCTCCTGAAAAGGGTTATTGTGTCATGGGTTTTGATAACAATGCTGATTTCCCTGCCCTTTTTATCTTGGATTTTGAGAACATTTGAGTTTTAAATAAGTTAAAGTTTGAATCTTTTGGCCTTTTCTTAAAAGGGATTTGAGTGACTTGATTTTATGATTAGCAGTAAGCACAAAGAAATATTTTTATCGATTTACCTTTCTCTTGTTCTAAAGTAGAGCAAAATTTCACTTCTGGGCATCTTAATCAAAACTAAATAATGAAAAGAACCATACAATCAATCCATTGTAATTGATTCTCAGAAATCCTAATGTGTTGGTATGAATTTTTGGTTCCTGAGAATGGGAATTAAAATGTATTCTCAATATGAAATCCCAAGGATAATTATTGTTTTGTTATAATCCTGTTACTGGAATGATTGCAGGTTCCAAATATCAGGCCTCTTTATGAGCTTGACATTGATACATTGCAAGATCTTATTCCCGAGATTCCATTATGGGTGAAAAATCCAGATTATGATCGAGTAAGCATTTCCTTTCAAGTGAAATACACTTGTTCTTTCCGTCTTGATGATTTTTGTTTCACAAATTTTAAGGTACATAACCCTTGGCTGTTCAATATGCAGGTAGACTGGTTAAACAAATTTATTTTAGACATGTGGCCTTTTCTTGACAAGGTATCTTTATACATCCCACGCTCTCCAGAAAAAGAAACAAAAAAATCGACTTTATATTGTCCTTAATTGCTTTTTAATTAATTGTCAAACATATAGGCCATTTGTAGCAATATCAAAAGCACATGTGAGCCTATTTTTGCGGAATACGTAGGACAGTATAAGGTAGAGAAGATCGAGTTTGACAGTCTTACCCTTGGAACTCTTCCGCCAACAATTCAAGGTATGTTTCTGGCTCTGTTTTTATCTACATTTTCTTGCATATGATGCTTCTGTGTTTTTCTGCTATCAACTAACTCGATTTTCGTATTATTATGTGTATTGATTGACAGGTTTAAAGGTGTACGAGACGAATGAGAAGGAACTAGTGTTGGAACCATCCATAAAATGGGCTGGCAACTCAAACATTGTCGTCTCAATAGTGTTGTTATCTGCACGAATTAGAGTCCAGGTTAGTAAAAACAAGACGTTTGGGATCTTTCGGGAAAGAATGTATTGATGTAGTTTCTGTCTGTTGAGCATATAACCATTAATGTGCAATCCAACTATCAGCTTAGGCTTTTAGTTGAGATGGAGCACATGCTCCAATTTGGTATCAGAGCCAGACCACCAAAGGCCATGGGTTCAAATCTCTACAACCCACCATAACCATTAATGTGTAATTCAACTATCAGCTTAGGCTTTTAGTTGAGATGGAGCACATGCTTCAATTCTGTCAAGCGAATGCGCTTTGTTACAAATATTAGTGTTGCTTCTTCTCAGTTAGTGGACTTGCAAATTTTTGCCGCACCCCGAGTTATTTTGAAGCCTCTTGTGCCCGCGTTTCCATGCTTTGCAAATATTGTGGTATCTTTGATGGAGAAGGTATGCAGAACGTTACAGTTGCTAGTTTTAGTTATCGTTTTTGCGTTCCTTGAATCTTACTATAGTGAATGAACAGAATAAGCTGTATGTCTTTGCAGCCACATGTTGATTTTGGATTTAAAGTTCTTGGAGGCGACTTCATGGCAATTCCAGGCCTATACCGATTTGTTCAGGTGTTCATCGCTCATTGTTTTATGGGTAGGAACTGGGGAGTATGGGCTTTGAAGTTTGAATAATCTTGTTTAACACGCAAGTTGTAACATTAGCACACGCTTTTTTTCTGAATCACTGGATGTTCATTTCCTTCTTTCAGGAAACGATCAAAAAGCAGGTGGCAATCCTTTATCATTGGCCCCAACGTCTTGAAATACCAATTCTTTCCCCCTCTTCGTAAGCCTGTTCGTTCTCATATGTTATATAGTTCTTCTTTGTTCACTTTCTGAATCCCCTATAACCAGAGCCCATCAGTATAACCAACATCGCTTCGTCTTTTGGTCTCTTTCTCTCCTATGTCCTCAAACTATTTACAGGGTGACCATAAGGAAGCCTGTTGGAATATTGCATGTAAAAGTCATACGAGCAATGAAACTCTTGAAAATGGACTTACTGGGATTATCTGATCCTTACGTCAAACTAAGCTTGAGTGGAGATAGGTTGCCTGCCAGGAAGACGTCCATCAAGAAGAAGACCTTGAACCCTGAGTGGAATGAGACCTTCAAACTTGCTGTGAAGGATCCAGAATCCCAAGTTCTTCACATCGATGTGTTTGACTGGGACAAGGTTTGCCTCTTTCTTTCTATTTCAACATGATTGCCAAACACTCTTTATTTATTTATTTATTATTGTTTGGATAACAAGGGAAATTCACAGACACTACCTTGAGGGTGTCCATTGGGTAAGCCCTGTCTTGTGACCCTAGCTGGCAAAGGACCACAAGGAGGTAAACCAGCCTAGGTTGCCTATAGCTGACCAGTTCAAACCAAGAAGGTCAATAGGCCGCTTCCATTGGGAGTCGAACTTGGAACCTTGTGGTTACCTAGCCAACGGTTGCCAGCCTAGAGGGCGAAACTCGTTGGCTTCATAAAGTATTGTACTATAAATTTGTGTGTAAAATGTCTTCTATAACACGTTTGTATATACATGAAACGATTAGTCAAGTTTAAGAAAAACCGAGATTTTATGTTAGTGTTATACTTAAAGTATTCATGTTTGGGGCATATATATACAGGTAGGTGGACATGACAAACTGGGGAAACAAGTATTTCCTTTGAAGAAACTGCAAGCGAACGAGACAAAGGAGGTTACTCTCGACTTGCTTAAAAGCACGGATGCATGCGATCCAGACGACATGAAGCAGAGAGGGCGAGTCGTGGTTGAGTTGACATACGCTCCTTTTCGAGAAGAGAGTGATGGATTCAGCGGTCTTCTAGGCAGCTTTAACAGGAAAGAGAGCAATGGTGAAGGATCATCCAGTTTCGATGTTAGCCCCAGGCCCGGGGGAGCAGGTCTGCTAATGGTTACTGTCCAAGGAGCCGAGAACGTTGACGGTTCTCGACATAACAATCCATATGTGGAGGTATTCTTCAGAGGTGAAAAGAAAAAAACCAAGGTAAACTTATCTTGCTTGTTCGATTGTTTCTTTTAATACTACTGACTCTGTTACAATTCAGTATCTGTGATTCTGTCCATAACTATTTTCTCGACCTAACAATGCAGTATCTGTGATTCTGTCCATAACTACTTTCTCAACCTAACAATGCAGTATCTGTGATTCTGTCCATAACTACTTTCTCGACCTAACAATGCAGTATCTGTGATTCTGTCCATAACTACTTTCTCGGCCTACTGAAGGCTGAAGCATACTTGAACCCATAACCTCTTTTAGAGTTCGGGATTTGTCTGATGATTTAATTGTTATGAATTATTAGGTTATTAAAAAAAGTCGAGATCCACAATGGGATGAAGAGTTCCAGTTCATGGTTGAAGAGCCGCCCGTGCGTGAGAAGATTCACCTACAAGTCATCAGTAAAAGGAAAGGCCGCTTCGTCTACGGATCAAAGGTATCGTAACAGAGTCAATAGTACTATATATATAAAAAAAGGTATATTTGTATTTTATTTGGATTATTGTATTAAGATTATGAATTTTATTGATGTTTTTGTTATAGGAATCATTGGGACACGTAGACATAAACCTGGACGATGTGATCCACAACGGTCGGATAAATGAGAAATATCATCTCATAGATTCCAAGAATGGAGTAATACATGTAGAGCTGCGCTGGAAAACTATATGAATTACTTCCCTCGCTAAATCATGTATTATAATACTTTATTTTTTTCTCTCTTTTTTGAGTTTTTTCTTTGGGTGAAATTCTCTCATTTTGAGTTTGGGAAGTAGTTTCCCATGTTGTATGTATGCATAGTCTCCAAATATTATGTACCTCAAAAAATATATAAAAATATTGGCATATATATATATATATATATATATATATATATATATATATATATATATATATATATATATATAATCCTAGCAAAATTCTATACAACCTGTTCGAATTTCTTTCTGGTTTATTCGCACAGCAGCATCGTCGCACGTCCTTTCTTTGAAGCAGCGATTCTATTACAAACCAAAGCTGCCTAACATTTTATTATTGTTGCTTTGTGAAACCAAAGCTGCCTAACATTTTATTATTGTTGCTTTGTGAAACCAAAGCTGCCTAACATTATTATTATTGTTGATTTTCGAACCTGCTGCGATTATTATTATTATTGCCGCTGTTCCAACTGAAGCTGCTGCGCATCTTGTTACAATTATTCAACAGTTATATATATATATATATATATATATATATATATATATATATATATATATATATATATATAGCGTAAAAGATTATCAAATAATGCCCTTATTATTATTATTTATTATTATTTAAGGGAACCCAACATAAACTAGCAAGTAAAAATCTACTTAAGAGAATCTGGTAATAGAATTTTTTTTTCTCTCAAGTTAAAAGTAGCTTTTAATAAATATAAGAAGTTTGTTAATCTCATCATTGTGAATATAATAACACTATTTATTGATAAAATTTGTCAACATTTTTTTTTTTTTTTACATAAGTGCTATTTTGAATTTTGAATATTTTTTTTACATATTTGAATTTTTTTGACATATAGTTTATTAATTTACAAAAAATAATCTATTAAACTCTCAAATATTTGTTATGTTTTTTTTTTTCCTTTTTAATATTTGTATATAGCAAGGATATGTTAGAGATTTTTTTTTTTTTAAAAAAAAAAAAGAAGAAGAGAAAATAACACTTTTTACCCCTGAGTTATATAGTTATAGCACTTTTCCCCCTCAATTATTTAGGTAAGCACATTAGCCCCCTAAATTGTTCTAAAAGTGGTGCTTTTTCCCCCTGATATATTAAATTGACATTTATACCCTTAAAGTAAACATTTTATTTATTTTACTACTCCAACAAATTATTGCGTATAAGTAGTGATGACCACGGTTCGGTTTGAATTGAACCGGATACTAAAGCAATCGAATTAATAGTTTACGGTTATAATTCAGATCTAGAACCCAATATTTAAATGTCAATTTATTAAAATTATGTATCAAAAAAATTAAATCTTGAACCGTGAACCTGCGGTTCTGGATCTGATTCGCGATTTTGAACCGTCTTTATTTTAAAATTATATTTTTTATTTTAAAATAGTCTAAATTCAACAATAAATGTATTTTATTTTTTCAGTTCGGAACATGAACCGTTCGTTCCCGTTCACGATTTTAACAAACTCTAAATATCGAATTTCGATTCTAAATTGTAATTGGAATATTTCGGTTTGGTTGCTATAGTGTTTGTTTAGTTTGAACCAAATTATGGTCATAATTTGTTGGAAAAAAAAAATAAATTAAATATTTAGTTTAAGGGTAAATATGTGCAATTAACATTTCAGGGGGAAAAACAACCACTTTAATCATTTAGGGGAGAAAAAATGCTATATATATAAAACTCAGGGAGAAAAAGTGCCATTTTCCCAAAAAAAATCATAGGAAAGCTTAAACAAACTAACCATCTTAATTAATTTTCTATGTAATTTAATTCTTATGCTATTTGAGTAACACCAAATAGTAATTCTTGGGGTCTTAACCCCTCCGAAGCACCCAAACCAAAAAAAAAAAAAAAAAAAAAAAAAGTCACATCAAGTATCTAAATTAACTTTCATTGCAAAGTTATTATCATCTCATGTATTATTTGAAAGTATTTTCTCATAAATTTAATTGATGAAAAAATACCAACCGTTTTTTAAATGATATATAAAAGACATTCAAGATTAGTTGTGAGGGTGGGTGAGCACTTGGCATTCATGTAAGTCTCAATGCTATAACCGCCACTTAATAAAGATTTTGAACTTATAACCTTAATATAATCATTTCATTCACTAATATTTCTACCAACAGGGGCCCAATGCTTAAGGGGTAAAGCTAATCCAAGATTTTTTTTTTTTTTTAATAATAACAAAATTTAAAAATAATTTTTATATATAAGCAAAAATTCAAACTCATAGAGAGTATAAACCTCCTCAAACCTTTCCATTACACCCTTGCCTTTATCCTTAGCTTTATTTAGGAGCCCTAAGGGTTTAGCAAATTGTATTTTCCTCCTTTATATTATAGTATAATTCAATTTTGAAACTTTAATCCTAGCCCAACAATTCAAGGCCCATGTTTGATGGGTGAGTAAAGCCCAATACTGATACTGGGCTCAAATTCCAAATGGTATGGGCTGGATTGGTGGTTGCTTAAAAGTTAAAACCCAAGTTCCATCCAAGGAGCCTGTTTGGTTCAAGAAAAATAAGTGAAAAAGAATTGACTTTAAATTCAATGTAAATGAAATTATTTGAAATATTTATTTCATTGTTTGGTTGGTGTAAAATAAGTTGTTAGAAATAAGTAGTATAAAGATACTTAAATACTCCTACATAATAAACATATGTGAGGGTAACATAAAAATTTATGTTATAATTTTTCTCCCAAGAGGTACGAATATAAAATACAAAGGAGAGCAAGGAATTCATTTTCCTCAAATTCGAGGAATTCATTTTCAATTGAAATAAATTGCTCGTCAACCAAACAATGTTTTTCCTCAAATTTAAGAAAGAACTTATTCTAGAAAATTATTTTCTTGTGAACCAAACACGTCATAAAAGAAAGGAATTGAAAAGAAAAAAAAAAAAAAAAAGAATTGGTAAGGGAATAGGGCCTTGTCCTTGTTCCTAGATGCAAAGCATGGAGAGAAAAAAGCGATTAATTCAAGTTTTAATTTTAATTTTTTTAATTATTGCATTTCTCTCTCTTGTGTGTGTGACACTTTCGGTCATTATATTCAAAACCAATCAAATATGCTATTAGACTATTGAAACATGTCACTTTTAATCTTTTGGTGGGACTAAAAGTATCGCATTTTAAGATTAAACCAAAACATTTTCAACAGTCCAAATCTAGTCAATTTTGAACGTGAAGATCCAAAATAGAAAAATGCAATATCAGCATAGGAAATTTGAGATTAAATCGAGAGGAAAAAAAAGAGTGGACCAATTTTATCATCGTATCATTAGTTATTACAAATTTCACCCAAGAAAGAGTGAAGAATTGAACATCCATGTTTCTATATTTATGGAAACTTCTACCGGGTCAATCAATACTCATGTTTATACATTATACAACTATATAATTGCAACAAATATCTCATATACAGTTCATATCCACTACACTTGCATATTTAATTTAGAGAAAAGGGTCAAATAGGCTCTCAAACTTTAACTTAAAAGTCAATTAGGCCCCTAAACTTTTTAAAGGTGCAATTACACCCATCAACAATTCATTTAAGTACAGTGAAGCCCAAAAACAAATTAATGACCAGCTATCACAGGCCATTAGGGTTCAGGCCACATTCCGGCAAATTTTCCGGGAAAAAAAAATGACCGGCGAAATTTCCGACAAAAAAAGTGACCGGTGAAATTTTTGACAAATCTGGGTCAATTGCTGGTCACTTTTTTTTGCCGAAAAATTCGCTAGAAGGTGACCTGAACTCTAATGACCTGTGATAGCAGGTCATTAACTTGTTTTTGGGCTTCATTACACCTAAATGAATTGTTGATGGGTGTAATTGCACCTTTAAAAAGTTTAGGGGCCTAATTGATTTTTAAACTAAAGTTCGAGGGCCTATTTGACCCTTTTTCCTTTAATTTATATCATATATATACATCGCGACATTATATTGATGGACACCTCAAAATTCTTCAATATATATAAATATGGCATAACATTTCTGGATATCACTCAAGTAAATCAAGAGTAATAGTGACTTGATTCATGCAATATCTCTGTCCCACTTAAAGAAGGTGTCTACAATTTAGTGACGAGATTAGTTACTGAGTTCGACAGTAGATCAAAACTCTAGGTACACCTAAAAAAAAAAACTTTAATAACTTTAATTTAGGACTCGCCACGACAGAAATCACAACATGGTACGACGCAATAGTTTTGGGAGGTGATTATGGGCAAATGGACCCAAGAAAGAAGGTAAGGATGGATTGGGTTTTGACTTGAAGTGTAGTGGTGGTGATGATTAAACAAGCACACATGTGACATCATGATAAGGAATTGAAGCCCACTGCAAAATGTGTAATTGTAATTAAGCACAAAGCTAAGCTAGTATGGTTGCTTGGATGGCATGCAATTATGCATGGATTGAAAATTCAAATCACAGCTCCTCTGCCCCCCATCCCCTAAATTATATTCTTAATCAAAAGTATCACACAAAAAGCTGACTTATTATGCCTCTCACTTTTGCATTATGTTTTGGGCACTAACCCACCATTGCATCATTCCTTTCCATCATGTATATCTCCCTCTTCTTAACTTTTTATTCACCATATATATATATATATATATATATATATATATATATATATATATATATATATATATATATATATATATATATATATATATATATTTAGGGGTCCCGTTCAATTGAGAACACCTCTAAACGTGAGAACATGCGAACTTCTTCAGTAATATATGGTAAATTCTTCATGAATGTACAATAACTACTCCAGCTTCGTGACCATTACATGAATGCATGAAAATTACTACAGAAATGCACAGCGCATTCAGTTAGTAGTAGTCACTGAGCTGGAGTAGTTATTGTGCATTCATGTAGAACTTACCGTGCATTACTAAAGAAGTCCGCATGTTCTCACCTAAAATATATATATATATATATATATATATATATATATATATATATATATATATATATATATATATATATATATATATATATATATATATATATATATATATACTCTTGTAAAAAATAAGGTTGATCAGAGTCACCCATCATGGTTCATCCTTGGTTGAATATTTTAATAAAAAAATGTGGGGTT